AGGAGCTGTGTTACATAGTAACCAAAGATGTGATCTTTGATAATCCATGGGAAGCCCGAGTCCAATGCTTCGATGTGCGAGCACAAGAGATGATCACGATTTGCTTCCAGCTTGCACCGGCACCAGCACCGTGACCATGAAAGGTCAGCTGTTTGGAGAAAAAAGGTACGTGGTTTTTCTGTGAACTGGTCTCTGGGTGTGTGTGTGTGTGTTTTTGTGTGTGTCTACTGGCGTGACAAAACATAATAACTGGAACACTGAAACATCAAACAAGTTATATATAATCAAAACTGGTTAGACCCACCGGTAGCTTAATATCAATGACCACATGGAGCCATACTAGAATCCAGTTCAATGGCCACATCGAGCCATTGAACCTGCTCAGCAAAACCTTTGCAACTCATCAATGGCCACAAACCATTGAACCTGCTCAGCAAAACCTTTGCAACTTAATGCTGCATCCAAAGCCCTGGATGCAAAGCAAAGCCCCAGACAAGAGGAACGTCACATATGGATAGATGAGGACTTGCAAGAACATCATGATGAAGGTTCTTTCGTAGGCATGTTAGGAGATATTGAAGAGTCCGAGGAAGCTGAACATTCCACGCATGCCGAATACGATGAATTCGAAGACCATGATGATGTTGATGAGTGCGAAGCAATTGCCTTGAATGCAGTGGTCGATTGTGAAGATGCTGAAGAACGTTCCTCAGGTGATGCCATCCAATTGCAACTTCCCGCATTCGTACTGTAGCTTTTGGGAAGGCAAAAGGCAAAGGAAAGGGTAAGCCTAAGGGAAAAGGTAAAGGTAAGTTAGTGAAATCTCACCTTAGCATCGAGCAACGCCGTCAGAAACTGTCAGAGATCAAGGCGAAATCCAAGTGTCTTCGTTGTGGTGGATTAGGTCACTGGGCTGGAGACCCCCAATGTAAGATGCCAAACGCCCCAAAAGCTGGATCACCCCCGAAGCCTGCAGCTCATCTCGCTGACATGAGTGACTCATCCGACGACGAAGGGATTTTCCTAGGTGCAGCGTCTCCGACAGAGAGCACTGCTCACATGGCTGTGAAGGCCAGCTCTGGAGTTCGCCCGGAGGCGCCGGTGAGTCCCAATGATCTCGTAAGGCCTGAATGGGGGCGATCGGAAAATTTTGGCTGGTCAGTTCAGGGGAAAGACCTTTTGGCAGATTCTTCATGAACATCCTGATTACCACCAATGGGCCATCAAGAATGGTAAGAGTCCAATCGCTTCGGCTTTTGTCACATGGGTTGATCAGCACTTTGAGTACAGGGGAGCTTCAGTTTTCAGGAAGGTTGGTGGTGCTTCTTCTTCATCGTCATTGCAGCCTATCCCAAAAGGGTCCTCAAGGAAGAAAGCGCCATATCCACCGAAAGAGAAACGCAAGAATTGTACCGAGTTCACCAAGCAGGGGAGCACAGCATATACCATCAAGAAAACATGTCTTGTTTGTGGGAGTGCTACTTCTGAACGCAGAGAACAGGCCCCGAAGTTTGCTTTTGAAGATTGTCCACACTCGGATACCGATTTTCGAGGTTCTACCAGGACGGTTCATCGTGTGTATTGCAAGCTTTGTTGTTCGTTTTTGGATGAGACTCCGATGGAGCTCCAAAAGACTAGGAAGGCAGCCTCAGAGAAAGTCGTCAATGCACCACTCGATAGGATCCCGATCATTGAACGGTTGGTTGAAGACCCCCAAGATGGGCATACCCCTGAAGTGCTAGAGAAGATCTTGACCGTGTTTGCCGCCCAAGTCGTAACGGCCGCCGAAAATGAGGAAGTGACCACCGGAGAACTTTGCCGGTCTAGGTGAAAAGGGGACCTCCACAGAAGGATCCCGCACATTGCGCCATTTTCGTTGCATTTCGAGACAGGCAAGCCCACGCATGGTGTCCTTGAGTCCCACGACATCCAGATATCATTCGAGGCCTGCTCAAAGACAAGCGAACTGTGAGGAGTATTTTGCAGAAGGTCGACGACTTGCAATGCAGAGGATCGTGGAGTCATTGATCTTAAGTGCAGAAGTGGCCGCCGTCGCAGTGTCGGAGGATCCGTGATTTTGTATAGGCACTTGAGAGACAAGGGCGTGCGTTGTACAATCATTCACCAACACAGTCCAGAGCGGTCGTCAATGTTTTGCGGAGGAAGATGTGAACTTTGCGGCCCTGGCCATCGGGAAACTCCTTCATCTCCGATCTCAGAGCACAAGCGTTCAATCAGTCCCTTCGGCATCAGCACCTGCACCGACCTCACGTGCACCTTGGAGGAACTTTTCAGTGAACCCTTCATCTGCATCAGGCTCAGTCCGGCCGGTGCCGGAGTTTGATGACGACGATGTTGAGGAAGTTGATACAAAGGAGATCGAACAGGAAGAGATCTCTGAAGAGGAAGGAGAAGAGGAAGCAGGAGTTGACGATTCGGCCATCTCAGCAGACGACAGTGCAGGTGGAAATCAGCAGATCACAAGCAGTTTTGCATGGTGAACCTGTTTTCCCCGAAAACGTTGTCAAGGAAGGTGTTCAGCAATCTTTTCTTGATGCACGCGCAGATCCGAGCGAATCCGGATTCTCATCGAATCTGAAGAAGCCGAACCCCGAATTCCGGATGCTGATTCACTACCCCCCTGTTCCAAGAAGATGATGAATTAGATGTAGGAATCAGACCGGGTTTCTTTGATGAAGACCAATCCGAAGGTGAAGACGCGCTTGAAGAGTTGAGTAGGAGTAGGTGGTCAGGTTCCAACTCACGCCCATCGCCTGCTGCAGGAAGTGAACATGGTCGCAACGTGAGAGTGAACGTGGAACCTCATTGCAGCCACCCCGTAGGGAATCAACGGGTACTTCAAACGCATGGCCTAATGTGCATGAACAATTGAACGACTTGCCAGCATCTCTGCAAGCACATTTCGAGAGAGCTCGCCAGAGAGACAGAGAGCAGACAGAGCAAGATCGGGAAGACGCACATGCCATGTGGACTAGCTTCCTTGCACAGACCGAAGAGGAAGTTCTAGGAGAGAAGGTCCTGAAAAGCATCCATTATGAATCTGCGCCCCCAGAAGTGCAGAAGGCCCTGCAGGAAGCAAGGCAAAAGGAATGGGCCAAGTTTGAAGAGTTCGGAGCCGTAGTGGCTTTGACTCCGGAACAAGCGCAAGAACTCATTGATGAAGGGCACCAATGCATTCCATCTAAATAGGTGGATGTAGATAAAGCGCAGTACAAGCAAGGGAGAGACCCCTGACTACAAGCCCATGTACAAAAGCAGACTAGTTTCGCGCGGAAACTTCGAAGTGACTGAGGGTTTGAGGTCAGACAGCCCAACGGCCGATGTCGAGATGCACTGTCTCGTCTGCAGTTGGGCCGCCTGCCACCAGACCGACGTCCATTCCGCTGATATCACCTCGGCGTATTTCCAAGGGCGACCATTGGATCGCGTCCTTCTCATGCGTCAACCAAGAGGAGGTTTGCCAGGTGTAGAACCCAATGTCCTTTTTCTCGTGAGAGTCCCAGTGTATGGAATCACAGACTCAGGAAGAGGCTTTTGGTTGCGTTTGGATGCCGATGCACGCAAGAGCGGTCTGAAGGCAAGCCAGTTTTTCCCAGAACTGTACTATCTCCCAGTGCCCTCGTGTGCACTCACGTGGACGATTTGCTCTACAGTTTTCTTCCGGAGGGCGAGGAAGTGATGAAGTCTTTTCTTGCCAAGTTCAGTGTCGGCAGTTCAGACACTAACCGCTTTCGATATTGTGGGAAGCAGTTTGAACTGGGAGATGACAAGGTCATCAAAGTCGATAACACTAGGAAGATCCATGGAGCAAATGCTGGTTCTAGGCTAGGCAGTGAGCGACTCCAGCAGGAGGACATCACGAAGCTTAGGTCGATCACCGGATCACTTGCCTGGATCTCGAGGCAGACCAGGCCTGACCTCGGCTACAGAGTAAGCCGTTTGCAGTCTAGCGTCAAGGACGCAACAGTGTCCACGTTGGCAGACGCTAACGCAGTCGTTGTCCTGGCGCACAAGGGTCACGATGTGGCATTGTGTTTTCCCGCGGCTCATCTCCAGTGGAGTGAAGTTGGTGTGATCACGGTCACAGGCGCTTCTTTCTCCAACAAGAAGAATTATAAGTCGCAACAGGGCAGGATCCACTTTGTGGGAGATCTCAAGGAGATCAAGGATGACAAGACAAGCGCCTACAAGGTGATGCCGTTGTCCTTCGGATCCACGACCATTAAACGTTTCTGCCGCAGCACTCTCCAGGCCGAAACGTACTCCCTCCAGAACGGACTCGAAACAGGCGATAAACTGAGAGGTGTGATCGCAGAGATCAAGGGCAAGATTCGAAGTATGAAGACATGGGAAGAAGAATGCGTTCCGCATTTGGCAATGACAGATTGCTGTTCGCTTTCTGACCACCTCAATCAGGAAGTCCTGGCCAAGGTGAGTGACAAACGCCTCGGCACGGAGTTGCAAGGCATTCATGAGAACTTGTGGGAAGAGGGAACTCCCACGTGGATTGCTTTCGAGAAAGGAGGAGATAAGCTGATCTGGATTGCCGCCAGTACGATGGTGTCGGACTGTTTGACGAAGTCCATGAAACCAGATTTGTTGCTTCGAGTGCTGAGAGAGTGCCTTTACACCGTACAGAAACAGAAGTAGACTTTTTTTTGCCTTAGGAAAGACACAAGTGTTTCAATGTATAGCCGTGTGACACCTGTAGAACAGGTTGAGTGTGAATTTGAGGTAGGATCACATTCTGTTGAGCCAGGTTGTCACACTATGTTGTGTCTGCCGCCATTTGGCTCCTAGGGCCCTTGAGCTATACCGTGCTCGCTTTCGCACTGAAAAGAGCGTGTGGACAGTACGATTCCGATTGCTACCGACAATGTTGACCGTACTTCATATGTTTTGAGCAGATGTGTTCTGAAACGAAGTGCCAAACGTGGGAGATTCAACGTGCTGAACGACTATGCGGGCTTCGTGCTCAGGACACACGCTGCCGAAATTGCTTTGAGCCGTACCCTGGAAATGCACTGCGGAGTATGGAAGGATATGAGGATTGTTGTTGTCAGCTGAAGAATGCAACAGATACATTACATATTGGATTGACCTGATGCTGTTGTGGTGTGAACTTGCGTTCGTGTGTTCTGATCTCACTTTTTTGGTTTCTGGCTCTACATGTCTGGCTTTTGAGTTTTGAAGGCACTGAAGAGTTTCGCCCCAAAGAGCTGGCTGCTTTGGGATGGGCCTTAGCGGCTTCCGCTCAGGCCACATGACTCACAGAAAAAGGGCACTTGAAACATCTTTGAATGTTCACCCACTTTTCGTGTTTTGGAGATGCATGGGACTAGGAGATCAATTCAGATCTTAAGAGTATATTGTCCTTTGGATAATCGATTGCACACGTTCAGGAGGCACCAAAGACGCCAGAGATGTGGCGGCAGGCGGCTCGTACTGCCCTTGAAGTGGCTTTGGAAGAGCCGCACACTGGCCGAGGCGGAAGATGCACGTTTAGCGGAAGTTCAAAGACGGTTGTTGCAAGCTGTGACACTTTGGTTCGTGATGAAGCTGTGACTTTGATGTTTGCTAGCGTGAAGCCAGCCAAACGCCCTTGACCAGCCCTGGATGGGTTTGTTGATGCACCCGTCCCCACGATCCGTCTTGGCAAGCAGGATCGCTGCCAGTAACTGAGCTAACTTTTGCGCGCCTTCCTACTTTTTTGCGCGCTCACAAGATTCTTTTGCTCAAAACGTGGAAGTTTCGCCGCGTAAAATGTCTTCCTCTTGGAGTGAGTGAGACATTGATCTCAGTGCAGGTGGCCGGCTGCTGGCCCAGACAGCATGGGTGGACCTCTCAAATGAGTTTGTCGATGTGTTTGAAATTTTCGTGATTTTTCAACATTATATTTTGATGAGCAGTTGGATTGTTTTGGATGCTTCTGCCAGTCACAATTCTTTCACGAGCATGTTATTTGCTTGCTGCCCATCCTTGATCAGTTGAGTCAGTTGAAGCATGTTGAGGCACTCAGTTTCCGTTTAAAGTTCATTGTATACATGGCCATCTTTATTATCCCAAGAATGATGAGCCTGAGGCATGTGCTTCGATGCAGGCAGCGTCGCAACCGTTGTGGTGGCCCCACAGTCCAACTGGCTGTTCGTAGACCAGTGGCCTGCAATGAAAGAAGAGAAGATAGTGAAGCACAATACAAGCCCATTGTAATCGATTCTCTTAAGGTTGGATAGACTGGCCAATGCGCTTGCATATCACTGTGGAGGCCGGATCATTGTGCGCAAGATGTGTTTTCACACATTTGGTTCGGTCGCGTTCAGTTTGAGAATGCGAGGTAAGCAGCGCATTTTGTCGAACCAAGACGTTGCCAATGGCATTTGGGCGTACAGTGACTCAGGGAAGTGAGAGTCTTTGTTACTACTAGTAAGGCACTTGTTTCTAATAGCTTTTTGTTACTACTAGTAAGGCACCTGTTGCTACTAGCGAGGCACTTGTTAATACGAATCAGAGTTAAAGATACATATTCCATCACCGAAGATTTTTTGGCTTAGGCTTTCCATAATGTCATGCCAATCGCCATCATTGGAGGCGACAAGTGTATGCACAATATTTAGGGGCACCCTGTTGACGAGCTCACGCTGACTCACGCTTGACTCTGGCGAAAGTTGCTGAGTCTTCAGACAGTGAATGCTGTGATGGTTGTGCTGATGTCTATGTTGATCTATGCTGATTATGTAATAACTGAATTGCAGCACGTGTTAGATACGTCAATTACTAATCTCGAAAAGACTTGCCTGATGCACTCAAACCGCATGCCTTGGGTTTTGGGCAGCTTTTCCAATTGTGCGACAATGATGGTCTACTGAGTTTCCGGTAGTTGTTGCAAGGCGATGGTGAAGGAAGCTGAGCTCCGAATCCAGACCTTTGAAGCTCGACAGCTTGGACCCATATCCTTTTACTCTCGACTGAGCAGACTCTTATTTCGAGCCTTCACTTGAGCCGTACTCAGGCTGGCAGCTTGTGCAGGGAGCCCCAAACCACGCCATGGCTCGTGAGGGCTCCACGCTGCTTTCCTCCAAGTTTAATCGGCAGGTTGCATTGCCAAGGCGTGGGCATTGGCCACAACAAGGTATCAATCCAAGACCTGGTTGGAGGACTGGGAAGTGTAAATGTCTTTGCCCAGACCATGGCTTCACACCCACCATGCAACTATGTTCAATTGCGTTTGGAATACCTTGATGGTTGTATCATTTGTTGACACAATGTGCAAGCCAACATGATTCCATTACACTATATAGCTGATTTTCGTCCTACTAGTAGCCGACTCCACTTTCGCTAGGTGCTAGCTGCAGCAGCAGCAGCCACTAGCCATAGCAAACTGCTGGGTGTCAGTGCCTGGGTCTTGGCGAGTTGTGAAGTGCCCAAACTGCTGGAGGCCCGCAGTGGGGATATGGGTCTACAGAGCGGAAAAGAAGATAAAGAAGGAAGACAAAAACAAAGGAAAGGACAGAAAAGATATCTAGTTTGTATCGTTTTGTATATGACATCCTGTCACCGTACCCAGCCACCTCTTGCACTTCAGACTTCAGAGTGTTGATGAGATTTCCGGGCTCAAACATGGCGTTTCAACCTGAACATGCAAATAATTAGACTTGCTTTGGTTTTTGATGAAGCACCTCGCAGGCATTGCTACCAAATGCGGTGCAGCTCTTGCAAAACCCTGACAAAGTATCAGCCGAGACACTGTTGCAACTTGCCTCTCGGCAAGCATATGCATGCTGCTTCAAGATGTTGCTTTCTTGTTTTAGTTGAGTAACTTGATTTCACCAGTCAGCACTAGAGGACTTGGAGCCGCTTGGAGCTTTGTACATCTGCCAATTCAAAAATCTTTGTGGGTTGTGTAGTTTTGATGAACTTGTCGCAAGTGTCCAGGCATGGGCCATTTCATTCAGCGGCCTGGGAACAAAGCAGAGGTGAGACTCCAAGCAACAAAGAAGGAGCCTTTGGACTTGTGATGTTATGCCATCTCAGAAGATCCGAGCGACTTGAATCTATTTCCAGTTGGGAATGCTTCTTTTGTTCCTGCAAGTTGTTTTCCGCTTTTGCCGTCTAAAGTTTGCATGTAGCTCACGTTGATGGGACATCATGATTGAAATTGCAAAGCGCCTGCATGCAATTGGCATGACTTGGGCAGCTGGGTTTATTTTTGCTGCCTTGCGAGATGTGTTTAACGGCTATTGATGTGAGGCCGCTGCTGCTTCGCATCGAAGACTTGCTACGCTTGGAAGGAAGGCGGCGGGATGCTGCGATCAGGCAGGGGCAGCACCTCAGCAAAAGGAAAGGGCAACACTTCACACGGTGACAGATTTGTCCATCAGACGCCTGGTCTCTGTGCACAAGAAAACAGATTTCTTCACCAGGGAAGATCTCAGTGGGATGGGCACAGTAGTTGAAGCCGAGACTGCAGAAGTGGCCGAGGTCAGCAAAAACGATTCAAACAAAATACTGTACAACGATTCAACCATTTCAGTGTGAATTGGAGGTCACCGCTACTTACAGTTCAACAAGATTTGATATGTTTCAATTTGAAAATGTCCATGCATCACAGCATGGCTTTGCGTGTTTTCTGTGTGGCTGTGCTTTGGCAGGCTGAAGCTCCCAGCATCGTTTTGCAGGTGCGTCCTTGATGAGGTGATGACATGTAGTATTGAGGCTATCGACGTTGTTGTTTTCGAGCACCCAGGTTACATGTCTTTTGAAGCCTACTAGAGAGTTTTAGGCAATTCTGTACTTCAACCAAACACTTGAGTTGAACATCCTGCTGCTCTTTCATTCAAGGAGCAAGATTTTGTGATTGTCCACAAGCCAGTGCATTGGGAGGCTGGGGGAACCGGGCCTTGGAGACCATAGTGGCCTGCATCAAAAGCCAGCCTTTACATCCACTTTGCAGGTGGATGATGGGGACATGAGGAAGCCGTCAGGCGTTGTCTCAGTTAATGCATGCACACAACAAAACCCAATGGAGATTGAACAACAGTTAGCCAACAGATTTATGCTGACATAGGACAGGTCGGAGGCACAACACCCTTGAAGTTGAGAGAGACTCTGAACCACTTTTCACAGACTACTACCCATGCTTTTTAGTTCGCTGAAGCCTTTCTGGACTGAGCACCATTGGGAGGACGACGACCCTTTCCACTATCAAGATTTTTGCAGCAGCGCTTCCCAAGCAGGACTGTGTTGTTGGATTGGTTCTGGCGCAAAGTGGATTGGACAAAAATTTGGTTGGTGCTCCTGGGTGCTTTCTGAGTGCTTCATTTCGTTTTGGCAAAAAAAGGAAACCTGGCAGTGACTTGCAGGTCCATTTTGCATGACGTCACCGTCGGCGGCGGCTTCCAGGGTCACTCAGCCTGACTCGTTTCGAACCACAAACCGTGATGCAAGACCATTTGGAACTAACCTCACCAAGACCACCAAGTGTACACCAAATACTTGTGAGATTTGGACTAGTCTTTGTCTTTGGGTCAAAACCACCTGCAAGTTGTCCACCCTTTGAAGGGTAAAACTGCGAGGAGTGGTGCATGCACACCAGCTATCACGAAAGCTAGCTTCACCTAGCTGGAGTTGTGTACTTTCGCTTTAGCAAGTTATTGGCTGGGGAATGGAATCGGCCTGTGGTTGCTAAATGTGTGAGCTGGATCTACTTGCTCTCCGAACTTTTTGCGAAAAGTCGAGAAGTGTTCGGTCACTTGTCTTGGCCGCGAAAAGTCGAAAAGTAAACCTTGAATCACCTGTGAAATTTCCTCTACACATTTGGTCAACCCATGTGTTGGAAACGACTATTTTGTAGAGAAAACAGTGGTTTTCTACAGAATCACTGTCCTGGGTGTTCCTGGATTTGTAGAGTGATCAGGGTAGATTTTGAGCATGTTAGCAAAAACATGATTTGCAAGGCAGGGTCCATTTTATAGAAACGGCATTTCTTACATATCTTTCCGTTGACTCGAGCATGTGCACCCACCCACCATGATTTTGTGGGGAACCCATTTTGTAGAGATGGGTGTTTACGCATCTTCCTGTTGACACATGGATGTGCGCCCGCCCACCATAATTTCGTAGAGAGACAGATACCATTGTGTAGAGAAAGCAATACACCAATCACCAAGAATTTTTTGGAGGTGGGAGTCACTTAGTGAAATATTTGTTAAAATAATTAACTAAAATAGTTATTTGGCAAGCCATGTAGGTGGTGGTACCAAAATAATGTTCACTAAAACCGTCTAGGTGGTGCAAAACACGTTGCATATGATAGATATATATATAGATATTATATAATTCTAATTAATTTTGAGTCTATGACCACCCACCTGTACAAAATTATTTAGACATCATTTTGAGTATATGAGGACCCACCTCAAATTATTTCTAAATAAATTTGAGTTTCCGCTCCCAAACAATGGCTGCGCGATGCAAGTCGTCCCAGTCATTGGTTCGCAGTGGAAACTCAAGGTTTTTTTCAATCGTTAAAAGGTGTTCCTAGGTCATCAGCCATGAAGCTAGTGTAGGAATACACAAGCATGGAATCAGGCAAAGGAATCAGGGTCAACGTAGCAAACCTCAAAGTCGCTAGTGTTCTCACTTTTTGCTGTTGAACTCCAGCACAGGGTTTAACTGTTTGGATTTTCTCAAAACCATCACCCTTCCCACTCTTCCAAAATGAGACCCTCCAGGGACCCTGATTTTGTAGAGATTGAGTGGGAGGCGGGAAGGGTGATTCC